TTTTAGGATAATTTTAACAGAAACAAAATTTATTAACGCTGAAAGCGAAAGTACAGTGGAAATTGTATATAACGTACACACATTTAACGGAGCCTGTACGTTATATGCAAGTTTTATATTTAGTCTAAGACTCTTAAAAATCAAAATTTGTTACTGTTGGAAGCCAAAGTACAGTGAAACTTAGACATAACGTTTACATATTTAACGTACGTACATTTAACGTACGCATTTGGTTATAATGTACATTTTATTTGATTTGCGTGTGTATAAAGTACAACATTTCATTTACTTGGTGTAACAAGCTTTTCGTTTGGTTGGAAATGAATATTCAGATATAGTTTTACATGTTTAAATACCCAATACATTCCGAATCATTGAACGTTTTATTTGATGCTCAGTTTAAGAAAAACTCAGATGTCATGTGGAGGTTTTACAGACAATTTAAAATATTTTTAGTAAACATTAAATTTATCAAATATGAGCAACATATATGACGTTTAGGTATTGAACGTACACGCGTTTAACGTACCATTACAATTTTGTTTGATTTCCTCGCACAAAACGCACAAATTTTTGTTTCGGTTGCCTAGCGAGCTATCCGTTTGGTTGGGAATATTGTCGATTAAATACGGGTATTTGGGAACAATCTCACATATTTGCCAACCCCTTCCGTTCCACATCAGCGAGCCCACGGGTTCCGTATTCCTGACATCGCCGCCTTTCAAGCGCTAGTATTTACAGTTCGCCATTGTTCCACGGATTAATTTGTGACAGCACCTGTAAATAAACTTCTGAATACCACACGGAACAATAAATTTCCCTCGAAAATACGGTACGTAAGTCGAGTAAGAGAATAACTTTTAATAGTAGAGGTGTGTGTGTGTATATATATAAAGAAACACATTACAGACTGTTGAATACGTTGCCGAGCAAACCTTGGGGGAATATCTGACCTACTATCGGCATCACTGGAAGTGTTTTACAGCCTCTTTGGGAGATTTTATTTTATGACTCCGTCGATAAATATATTTCAATTGTCTTTTATATCAGAATGTGGCGTGAAAGTGTCTCGGTAAATAATAATTTCCGTTCGAGAGACGTTTCTTATGTCTACTGTCATAGGCAAGGCCATAATTTTATTTGGCTTTGTTTTTATTGGAAGATATTGTGTTATTTGTCAGGTTAGTCGAGGAACTGTTTGTAGAAGAAGTTTGATAAAATATAAGTAAAGACTTCTGTCGATGGTAATAAAAAATATTAGTAGCAGACTGTATTAAGGAAAATTAGACGTCAGATACTGTGTAAAGTGTTTGCGTTGTACCAATTCTTCGCAGATAGCTATATGAAATATTTCCAGGATTGTTAACTCCTGAAATGTTGAATAGATCAACAAAGTTGCGCTATTTGTGCAAATATCCTTATGTAATAAAGAATTAAGTCAATATTGACCATTCCCCTGCGTCTGCCTCACACAAAACACTCAGTGGATTAGCTCAAGCATTACAATTAGAATTTCTGCCCCGAAACAAAAATTTAATTTCCTGTTCGTCTATCTCCGCTCCCTATTTCTCGACGTTATCTCGCCACTCGAAAAAAATTTCATCTATAAGCTGATTTTGATTGGCGTTTACTTACTTAGAGCAAATCGGGAATTCCATCAAGAAGCCCAATGTTATCAACGTCGATGGGATTCACGTCGATAAGCCTATCCCACTTTGAGCTCCGTAGGAGGTAATGTCTGGGTGATCGACTCAGAGATTGTACGAGGGATGATTGAATTTTTTTGCTCATTATTATTTAACATAAAGCGCCCAGTAACGGCGTAGACAAGATTTTATAGTTTTTCCCTTAAAAGAATCGACCCCCGCCTAAATTTACACTCTCTGTAAAAGTAATCTCTCCTTCTATTTCATCTTTTTATGCTGGTATGATTCTATATGGCCTCTTAGCGGGCATATTCTAAGTGAAAATGGGAGGGAGATGATACTCTCGTCGAATATGTCGAGGAAATCCCAAGCCGACGCACAAAGGGATCGTATAAAAGCCGCGATAGGCGTTTTAAAAGAAAAACCGATAATATGATGCAATAGAAAACATATTCAGATTGAGACCGTCGCGGTCCCCCGCGACTCCGGATAAAAACCGAGCGGTTATAAAAATAAAAACTTCCCAAACTACATATATTCCCCGGAGCTGCCGAAACTAATCGTAAGTTGGTACGGCGGAAGAATTCTTTGATGGCCTCTCCCTCGCGTTTCATATGCTCCAGATGATTTCCGACTATCGCGCTCCGAACTTGTTTACGATCGGACACTCCGGGGGATCGGTAATATTGCTCGTGTTTTGACAAGTTAGATAGAGCGCTTTTATCAAAATCCGTCTATCGAATTATTAGTCTTCGGATGAGGCCAGATATTTCGTCCATGTTTCCAATCCACGGCAAGAAGTAGAAAATGAAACAGCTCCGAAACACTCAGTGTATGCTCTGAGAGACTTAAAATTTTATTAATGTTTCTAATACATCCCAGAAAATAATAATGGTAATAATAAAAGTTATTTGTGATTCTACTAAACAATAAAAAAACTGAGTTCTAGAATTTTAAAATGTAAAAAATGTATAAATGTGAAGAGCACTTTTGTCATTTACGAATCATAAATTTGACGTCTAATGTTGTTCGTGATATGAATGGAAAATGTAATTTTTTTCTTTAATAAGTAACATCTGTATAAAAATACTTTTTTTCCATACTATTAATGTTATTTTTTTGTGAAACACGTTATTGTTGCGTGTATTTGGCGTTCTCCAATCTTTGCCCGCCGTCCCTGATACCTCCATCCTCTCCCAGAAGGGACCGCAGTTAGCACCCGCCATTACGGGGGAGAGCAAGCCCGGTGCGAGCATAATAAGTATAACAATTAGCAATAAATGCCGAAGGAATTAAGTAATAACAAGAGCGAACACATATTAGTTGCTGCCGGTAACGCCGGGCCCGCTTTAATGACCACCGGTTAAGAGTATTCCCAGGATGGGTGTTCTGGCGTTATCCTTCCTACCGTGGGATACTAAACAAGCATTTAGGGGACCCGCCTTGGGTTTATGGTGCGGTGGAAGGGAACTGGAACGCCGTTATCCCCCGAAAAAGTCCAAGGCGCCGCTGTTTCACCTTCGGTGTAATTAAAGAAGATGTAAGTGTTGAGGCCGTGTGCTTTCTGTTAATTCAATTTCCAATACCAGCGGCTCGAAACAGATTTCCGTAAATTTTGGTCCTTCGAACCGGAGGATAACGATTAAACGAGCTCGAGATCGGCGGCATTCCTTAACTTTTACTACCTTAATACACGTAATTGTCAGGAGAGTTATTATGCAGGATTTCGCAGGAGTCACCCCTACAGTTCCTGCGAACGCTCGCAGTTGGAGAATTAACCGACAGTTAGGCGGCGATGGTCTACGTAAAACTTTGCTAATGGTTGTCTGGCGACCATGCTAATTATATCGCTTTATACGGTAACATCAAAGAACGCGCGGGACGATTTTAAAGGTAGGAATGGAATTTCTCAAGGGTAACATTGTTCCACTTCAATAAATACCCACCCTGCTTGCGAGTCTTGCTTAATTATTTATTTAACTTCCTCTCAGCAGTCTATAGAACATTAACACGCTATTGCTTCCACCACATAAGACTTCGGCTTCCAAGCTAAGCCACAATTTAACTAGAGCGACTGTCATAATTTAATGAGCGGCAGAAAATCCTCGTAGAGTTAATCCTCTAGACATTATTCTTGTTTTCTTATGGCAATGGAGACAAATACCGTTATTTTTAACTCGGGAAGTCTGCTAGCACGACACATTTCCAAGTACTTTACCGTTACGCTTCCGGTGGTCATTTATACAAATAAAGAGCGCCCGGAACTAGGTCAGGTAACCCGGCAAATGGATTCGGCTGTCAACCTGTTCGCCACCCGACTTACATTCATCTGATTCCCGCAAAAACACAGTCGCCTGGATATCCTAAGAACTGGAGACAGTCGATGTTTAAACGTATTTTATCATTTATATATTATTTGTGAGTAAAAAGTTTGCGTATGTCGAAATTTTCGCCTTCGATATAATAAAATTATGAATTTAGCGACATGGCGGATATTCCGTAAACACTTTCTGCCCAGCTAATAGATTCCCGCGATAACGAACACCGAAAAAGATAATGGTTTGTAAAAAGTTTAACTTAATTTAAAAGTTTGAAAGTTTCAGGCGCGATAAGATGAATTTTGTACACTGTGAGAGTCCCCTGGGGATACTGTAATTTGTATTTTAATTTGAGATTTTTGTGTTGGAACACTTCCTCCTCAACTGTAAAATAATGATGTTCCTAAAATATTATAGTTTAGAATACTTCTGCAATCATAAATTGTACTCGAAAAGTCATCTCAACTACTCTGAAACTTTACCTAACAACTTTATAACTTATTAAACACATTCATGTATAACGTACAACGTACGCTCAGATATAACGCACAGTTTAAAAAGGATGATGTACCAATTTCTCTGGTAATTATCATGGTTAATTCATATCGTTTCTTTGAGAGTGAATAAAATAAATCGCGAAAATATAACGTACGGCGTACACGAGTGTAACGTACATATAACGTACACTTGGTAAACATAACGTGGAAAAGGCCAACCTAAAAAGATCTGAATACATTGTAGATATAAATCAAAATCAAATATGACCACCAGGAAAATATAACGTGCAGGGTAAGACGTATATAACGTACACATTATTTAGTAGTCGTTCAAAGATATTTATTGTGAATAGTATATGGCAATTCTCCCAGTGCGAATAAAATTAGTGTTTAAAATATAACGTACAGGTTAAAACGTACATTGTATAACTTATTTAGTGTTAAAGCGCACTTTTGATATAACGTACCAATTTTACTGTCAATTAATTTGTGTGAAAATTTTGCTTTCCACCAGCGTTGAATCGTTGTCTTTGTTCCAGGGGTCGAGGCGTTGAAAGACGTCTCCGTAACCATTCCCCCCGCCGCCCGGATTATGGATACAGTGACACTCCAGTGCAAATATGACCTCGAGGGGGAGCCTCTGTACACAGTGAAATGGTACAAGGGCGGTAAGGAGTTTTACAGATACATCCCCAAGGAGCTGCCGAACACGCAAGTGTTTCCTTTGCCCGGGATAGACGTGGATGTGAGTTCTGGGAGCTAATTCGGGGTAACCTTTGATAAAACGGGAGATTGGGTTAGGCTAGGTCCTGTAACTTTTGCGGGGAATATAAAAAAAAGGCGAGCGGCGCGCCGCCGTCCTTGGGGGAATTCTCTTTTTTCGGCGGTATTCAAACGAATCCGTCGTTTTGATGTTCCATCATCAAAAGTGTATGTACAGGCTCAAAAAGATATCAGTATATTGGGTGTTTTTTACAGTTCAAATTCAGATCATTAAAATTTTAAATTTATTCTGAATTTGATAAATGCCTTGTACCAAAGGTATAGCTCGACCAAACTTATCTTGCTCGCGAGGTGCAGGATGAGCTCCGGTACTGGTGTAGTAACGTTGCCACTGCGCATCAGAAACTGTCGGACAATCTGAATTTGGTCATGCTGTAGTTAATGTGATATATTTATGTACGAAGTCACATGAGAGTAGTTTTGAGGCCGAAAAGATTCCGTTTGTTAGAGAAATAAACGATTAAATATGTTTATTATTTTCAGTTGAGCAAAAGTACTCCAAACGAGGTGGTATTGAGAAACGTTCAACCAGAAGTAACAGGCCGATATAAATGTGAAGTTTCCTCGGATGCCCCGAATTTTTACACACACATGGTGTCTGGATACATGTACGTCATTGGTGAGTTGCTATTTTTGATCTTTATTACCGAATTTAGCGCATTTTAATGGGCTCCATCTCGGAAGGGGTGACCATAAAATTGTAAATTGAGCGTTAAATTGCAAGCCTTTACTTTCGAATTTTTTCCGTCGCCGTCCCTTAGGTGAGGTTATAAAACCCACCCCGACAGCGAACAGCGAAAGAAAATTAAACGCCCTCCAATAAAACCCTCTCGGAAAAATGGCCGTCCCGGAACCGTCGTCCGTCGCCGTCGACAATAATGGCGTCCTCGCACGCAAAAAGCATTTTGTCGAATCGACTTAAAAAGCACATAAATATCCCCCCGACTTGCATATACTCCATTTGATGTTTTTTAATCTGATTTAGTTGGGAGCCCGATGCGGTCTCATATGGTCCAATTGCCCCTATAACTTCTGCCTCGTTGGCCGCCACTATAAATCAGAAAAATCCCGGGCTGCCATGCATGAATTAAACCCGGATCTGTGTCTGATTCAATTGTGAAGGAGCGGAGCAGGCAGGTGGTCCTTTATGGGCCGTTGATGTGGAGGTGTCCTTTTACGACGACTACGGTTTTATGGCGCGATGGGTGGGCTCTAATATCATATTTAATATATTTTTGAAAGGGTTTTATGTCCCGTTTCTTGCAAAGATCGATGTTGAGAAAAAAATTTTTTGCTGTTTCCGTTCCAGATTTCGTCCTTTCCATCCTAGAGTCAAGGTTTTTTAAAAAATGATAAGTAACGAGAATACAGGTATATATATTTAACTTATTTATTCTCCATTGCCACCAAGGAACTGTAACCATTTCTTTAATTTTTTCGCTATAAGAGCTGTCGCTCGCCATTTCATAATTTTCACTTCAAAATAGCTGAGAATAGTTTGGCGCCCAACGTTGGGCGCCAAACAATGTAATTATTGTTGTTTTAAAAAATGTACGAGTCCCTTCGTCATCCCTTACGCTTTCCTGTCCCGCGCCGAATTGCTCAGGAAAACGTAATAAATCTATTTATACATCCACCTTCTAGTAAATAACCTTCCCTCGGAGCTTATTTAACCGATTTGACGCTTAAATGACGCCCGGGAGTCGCGTTCACCTTAATTGCGTCACGTTGCCGCCTCCGCACCCCGCCATCTCCTCGGGCGCAATTAATACCGCTCCCAGAAATGTAAAAATTCCCTAAAACTTAATAATGCATTCTGCAAGTTCCCGCTTTCCGGTTGTCATGCCCACCAGCGCAGTTTGTACGAATTACAACTCGATTTAAGGGAGAGAACATCCCGCCGCCGCCGCCGCGACCAAAAAAGAACGAGAGACCGGCCGCATTCTGCTCGAGCAACCGGAGTTCGTAGTTTCTTAAGAGCTCCAGATTAAACGAGTATATTAGGCATACAAGTGGTTACTTCCGCATAAACTGTTTTCTAAAGTTCCGGCTGCGCTTCGCACATGACGGCGCTGAGAGTAATTGCGGGGGCAGGGACTGCAGGGGGCAGCACTGCTAGAAGGAAGCGTTTTTAGAATAGTAACAGGTTTCAACAAAAACGCTTTACCAGCGGGAATGTCACAGTGACGGGAATTTTTTAAATTTTCAGCGGTTCCAAAACTTTTTGGCTTGCCTTGATAAAATCTCCAGCGTTGCCAACATGGTGCTTTGTCGTACAGTGCGCGTAGGTGAGTGGCTAATCCAGCTAGTGGTGATTTAAAGTAATGGTAATAAAATACAGTGTAAACCAGTGGTTCAAAAATGTTTGCCCCTTTGTGAATTTTAATTGATTTTTAGAAAAGTTAAAGGCTCCGAAAATGTCTAGTGCTTTTAATATATAGGTTTAAAAAAAATGGTAATTTTAAATATATAAATTACTGATATGTACATGGTTTATGTCAGCAGTTCACAAACTTTCCTCAGTGAGTTTTAGGATTGTCAAAGATTTCATTAAAAAAATGCATACCTTTAGAAATGATTTACAGTCTAGACCAGTGATTCTCAAACTTTTATTCATGCCGTTTTGAAATTGTATACTTCTCGAGACAAACTTAAAATTAAATAATTTAAACTACCTGAAATATTTCGTCCAGACTTGGAGAATTCCAGAGAGGCAATAGTTATTTAAAATGCCTGAAATAAGAGGTTCTCAAAAGTTTTTATGAGATAAAGTACATTTAATGCTGTGAGTGGTTGTAAGCGTCTTTAAAAAATTATATTTTCTTTCTTAGTCCAGTTCAAAATAAAGTAGTAATTGGAATATACCAACAAATATGGTTAAAGTCAGTAGTTCCCAAACTTTCTTTGTGGTAAAGTTCAATTGTATCTAAAACAGTTACAAGATCGTTTAAAACTGCTTGCTTTCTTCATTTTATATTGAATTGATTGTAAATATCTGAAATACTACTCATTATGTCAGTGATTCCAAAAATGTTTATGCTGTAAAGTGCGTTTTATGTTTCTACTTACAGATTTTTTAAAAAATGGTAATGTAAAATCTCGCCTTTATTATACGTAATTTTAACAGTGGTTCCAAAACTTATTGAGCATCTCTTTTAGAACAGTTATTGTCATTAAAAATGCCTAAATCTTCGGAAAAAAAATGTTTAAATGAAATAATAATTTCTAATTCTTGAAATTTTATCCCGAACATTGTTCGGTCAGTAGTTCCAAAACTTTTTCTTAATTAAATTTTATTTTAAAAAGTAGTAATGGATTTCTGCATAAAATACTCGCCTTTACAAATCAATTTGGGATGAATAAGTCCATTCCAGTGGTTCTCAAAATTTAACAGTTTGGAATGGCATACATGCAGAAATAAGTATTTTTCTGGATTCAGCAACTATTTATGGTAAACATAAGCAATTCTAAAACATTTTCGGGTATTTCCAGAACAAGAATCGTCGCGAGGAATTCGATACGGTCCCTTTCCGGATTAATCCGGTCCATCGAATAAAAGTCCCGCTGCTGCTCACGTGCGTTTCCTTTCGGGTCGAGGAGCTTCCAATCCACCGGTGTAAGACTAGTATTCCCAAAACATTGATTTATGGGATCCGGCGTCGCTGTAACTCATATCCCCGGTAATACAGTTTCCCAAGTGAATATTTTATGATAATTTCAAAGGAAACGCGAACCGTGGAGAGAAGGAAAAATGTGCGAATTCACGGGATACGTATTCTATTATACTTTTTAAATTTATTTTTATTTTATTTTTATTCGCTCTGAAATATAGCCCGGGTGCGCGCGAGGAACGACCCACGGTTTTTAAATGTTGGCGGATCCCGCACTACTAGTTCTGCGAGGAAACGGAGCAATAAATTTGACGTTATGACGCGGTTGTCGCTGTGGAACGTCCCCCTCTGGCGAAAAATTCCCGAAAGGTAGTTCAGCATTTTTTGAGAACTTATTGAGGACAGAAATTACAAAAGTTCGACGACCAACTAGTGTACCTGATCTGAGGCCATTGGATTTTTTCTAAAAAACTTGTTTGAATCAGTAAGGTATTTTTTTCAATTACACTATATGTAGTAGTAGGAGTTCATTTATATTTCACTAAAGAGGAATTTAATGTTCACATTTAATGTACACCCCTCTAAAGTATACAATTTTAATAGTGTCAAGCAGTACGTTATTTTAACGAACTTATTTAACGTACACTCTAGCGAAACGTACAGTACTAATAGTGCTAGTGAGTAATTTTAAAATTGTCGTTATTCTATGCTGTAAACATATATTTAACATATACATTTAACGTACAATTTTTTTAAACAAACAATTTTATTTATAACATTACAGCTACGTTTATTTCACTATAAACTATAAAACGTACAGGGGACAATATAACACGTACGTTATATCCTGTACGTTTAAATCTGTACGTTATAACGTTCCAGTTTAATGAAAAATCTCGAGAGCGGTGATTATTTTGTGCGCCCTTTTCATAGTTCCGCAGAAAAAAACCTTTGAATATTCACGGTTCCGCTCGTTTATATCGCTGGATATAAAACAACGAAAACTTTCACTTAAAACAACACAAACCACGGCTTGCTTTACATAATCCACCACGCGCATTATTTTTTTAATCCCTTTCACTGCCCCGAGCCCGGGACTCCTTTTTTCGCGAGATATTTGTTTGTTTTCCCTCCAAGATGCCGTCGCCGGTTGATATTGTTTTGCTTTTCCGGGATACTTGTTTTCTTTACCGAGTATTGTTGCCCGCGGCATCGCTATCCTGTTTCTCACGAAGATTGAATAACTGTTATTTTTTTTGAGAAGGAGCGGACGGAAAAAATCAAAGTAAATATTTTTTTGTGAATATCGGGAACTAAAAGATAGTTCTATGGACAGTGAATTTTAGAATATAGCATTACAGTATACTATGTTCACAGTATTGGTCTTTGTCATGATATAATAAAATGATTTTTTTAACGTACAACTTGTAACGTACAACATGGTATAACGTAGATATTGTTTGGTTGTCAAAAAAAAAACATGTGCATTATAACAGTGTATATTATCAATGTGTACGTTATATGATGCATATAATCTATGTTTCATTAAAACGTACAGGATATAACGTTCAAAATAAAATTGATATTTCTATGCAATACGCATTTATAAAACAATAATATAACTAAAATACTCAGGGTATGTACGTTAAAACTGTGTACGTTATAGATATGTACGTTATATATGTTCCAGTTTTAACGTTTACTGAACTGACTTAACAATTATTGCGAATTTATAGCTATATAGTTTCTGTCTAATGGATTTTTGTAGGCTTCGAATTGCTCCAGAACTTCCCGACAAGTTCGGAAACAACTATTTTGTTTAACGTTACGACTTTGGCGCGGCATGTCGCCTTATACAAAATATTATTGGAACTTCGCGTATCGACAGATGAAGAGCTAATATAATGACGCCATTTGGCGGCAGCTGTCACTCCGTTGGGGCAAATAAGGGAGAAGCGAAGATTTTTAAGTCTGAATCGAGCACGTAATGGGGTTGGAAGTTTTTCTG